AGGGGCCTTCACATGGGCCTGTCCCCAAGGAACATGCACGTTCGTACACTGCAACCCAGTGAAGGCCCGCTTACTTGTCAAAGGACGTCTGCGCAGGACGTCTGCGCACTATATAGAAGGTTATATAAACGTTTGAATGATTCTTTATGATTGTATCTAAAGTGTCGCAAAGGCTTAAAAGTGAATGAATGACACATTCAATTTTATCTAGGATCTACTAATTTTGAGCCCCTAACAGGCGCATAGCCATAGTTGTAATTTCAGATCACCATCTTGCATACCCCATTTCAAGCAACCAAACCATATATCGCCGACCCGATGGCTCCCCTTCTGCAAGGTCCTTCTTGGCCTTGTCCACCTTCACCTCTTCCACCACCTCTTCCTTCTCCGCCTGCTTGGGCGCCTCTGCTGGCTTGGTCACGAAGTAACCAAACTTCGGCTCCAGGCCTTGCAGGCGGCCATGGGCGGCTGCAGGGACACCCCTGAAACCTACACCAGCACCTTCCCACAGGTCATCACTTGCGAGTTGTTTGGGTCCAACAACCCCACAAAAGCAAAGGATGCAAAGGCTCTTATAATGACATGAGGTGTTTGTTTGGGATGCTGTCTCTTCGTTTTGGCCCGCGTGTGAAGGCTGGAGACCTTCCATAGAAGGCCTAGCCTATCCAGGTGTTGGATACGGGTATAAAAGACACCCAATGATAGACCTTCCATAATACAGGTATAGACTATAGACACCCAATACCTGTATGGTATTGGTATTATTTGGTATCTAATATTTTCATGTCTAAATACTCTATCAAAGCACTTTTTGATCAGGGCTCCAAGGATTCAGGATGAGCCATTGGCAAATCATTGGATCCGAAGTCCATGAGTGAAACACACACACACAACCGTCTAAATAGGTCCATGTCCATGTCTTCCCATCATGGCCTTTCACGATCTTGCAGGCGTCCACGTAACACCTTGGTCATCCGGACATGGTCCGGCGCGAGCGTTCGTCATGGCCATGTCGCAGCATGTCGCAGCAAGTGGTGCCATGGCACCAAGTCCTACGAGCAAATTCTAGCTGAACCGGACGCCAAGTCCTACGAGAAAATTCTAGCCGAACCGGAGTCCAAGCGTCTGCTCAGCCTTGAGCTCCGCCACCTCTTTCCCCTTGGCAGCGCGCTCCTTCTTGTTGTCCTCGAGTCACCGGCCGAGCTGGGCCCAGCTGGGCGTGAGTGTGGAAGAGCTACACCCTGACCCAAACCCAAAACGCCAGTCGTACCTTCTGAGGTTCGGTGTTTGGGCTGAGTTTGGAGATTCCAAATACCTTCTGAGGAGGTATTTGGAGGCCTATAGGTTAATGGACGGATGGATTTTTTAGTTTATTCGGAATGGTGGCTCGAACGTGTAGAGCTGAGTCCGAACCCACAATACGAGAGCACTGCCCTAGCCACCAGTTCATCGTAGGCAGATCCATCCAAGCCGTTTAGGGTTTAGGGTTTAGACGCTTTGCCACTAGACCCCTCACGGGGCCACACTTCCTGACCCAAAACCGCCTTCTCCCACTCTCTCCTTGCCCGTGAGCAGGTTCGCTTCCGCTTCCAAGGCTTGAATGCCTTGGGGTTCAGACCGGTGGTCCAAACAACCACTCAGATGCAATAGACGCAATGGACGTTTTCAGGTAGCCACGGTACCCACATCAATCCAAGACCTTCTCAGCCAAGCTCAGCTATACAGTATATGGATCAAAGGAACACCCTGTATGTGCAACGCTCAGCTAATTGGGAAAGTTGAGACATGAGCTTCTGCCCTGGCTGCGTTGACATTGGAACCATTGTGGACCTGAGACTTTTGGAGGCACTGGTCCACTGGTCCAAACCATTTACACCCGGAAAGATTAACATGGAACCTGGAAATGGAACTCTAGAAGACAATTTTCCTTTACAACCCAGCGGTTTTCAGGTTCCATGTTAGTTTTCCAGGGTGTATGTCCCATCTTTGTGAACTTGTAGATTTTAGTTGAGGATCCAAAGCTCCATCCGCACTGAATACCTGCGATTTTGGTGTGACAAGCTATGCCTACAATCCACCAAAAGGTCCCAAACCCATTTGGGTCTCCTGCAACAGCCCAGCCAGGTAGTTGATGGGATCTCAATCATGCGCTGCCTGGCCTTGCCTTGCCCTTTTCCAGCGAGCCGAGTGGCGAGCTTCCACCTCTGTCTTATACTTCCTCAGTGCGACACAAATCAACGCAAATTGCCCTTCTTGAGACCCGGATGGCACCTTGCAAGGGTTCCCACGATCAGCTTCCTTTCTTCATCTCCTACCCATGCTGGATGTGAAAGAAGAGAGCCTCCACGCTGCCAGGCACCTCCGCACAAGTGGTTTCCAGGATGAGTCGGGCAGGAGTCGCAACTAACACCCACCAGCAGCACCGGAGTTCTAGTCCACCTCCTTGAGTATAACTCATTAAAGCAACTCGGTACCTGCCACCTGGTGAGCGTCTTTCTGGCGTGTAGATACAAATTGAATACGGTGATTGCCGTGGATTAGAAAGTATGGCCCAACAAGGGACTTACCTGATACTGATCAAGTCATCATATCAGGCAAACAATGTTTAACATTGTTTAACAATATGCAGTATATATTCAAGTAGTTTAACACTGTTTAACAATGTTAACTCCTTAGGCATTGTAGTCAACTCCTGTATGGCCAGGTAGTTTAAGAATGTTTAACTCCTTAGAGCAACTCGGCAGCCATGACATTCACGCAATGATACTGGTCGAGCGTCTCAGCGCCGGCGGTGTCGACCTCCGCAGCGCTGCCCTGCTGAGCTTCGAAGAGCTTCATGCCCTCCTCGGCCTGAGAGATCATTCCGCCTGGCAGCGTCCGCAGCAGGCTGCGGGTCAACACCCCGTAACTCTTAACCGCTGAACATGAAAGTCAACAGATTCCTCACCAGCACGGGAGGTCAACCCACCAGCATTTGGGGCTCCAGGTTTTGACCCACGGCCATCTCGCAGCGGTCTTCTCCGTTTCGTCTGAGCGGTCCAGATCGGATGAGGCGGACCTGACGGGACGGTGGTTCGTGGTTCGTTGAAGCGAGCCAAGGCTTCATCCAAGTGCCTGACAGGACGGCTCGCAGTTGTTTGAACACCTGGTTTTTGACATGAGTGCACATCAGGCCATATCAGGCCCTCTGGAGGCTGCCAGGCGCTCTTTCTTGAACAACCCGACGAGAGCTTCGTGGGGTCGACTCCTTTCAACTCAGAGCTGCTTCAGAAGGTGACACGTCAGGGTCAGCCACTTCACGTCGGAGCTCAACTTCCGCGTCCTCCGGTGCGCCAGCTGCGGCTGGGAGTTCAACACCTTCGCACCTTCTGAACCCCCCGGCAGCTGCATACCCACGCAGCAAAAAGGGGACGAAGGTCCCAAGGCCAGACGATGCTGGAACTTCCACCGCATGTCGTGCTGTGCCTCTCCAAGGGCTCCTGTCTCACCAGGTGGTGCTTGGCTGCAGGTGCTCCTGTCCGCCGTACTGGACGCCTTCTTCGGCTTTCCACCGGTCTTCCCTCCACCCGAAGCGGTCCCTGCCGGTCCCTGCGGAGGGTCTTGAAAACGATACGCGGAGGGTCTGGCGGGTTGGGGGCTGTGAGATGGGTTGCAGTGGATGCTCCGGTTGGTTGGAGTTGGTGGGTTGTTTTTGTGTTTTCGCTTGCAGTAGTTATGTGAGTTGTGTGCTCAAGGAACTTTAATGAACATGCATGAAAAGAGATCAGAGTTGGGAGCAGTTACCTCACACATGTTATTCAATTCTTACCTATCAATCTTGAATATTCTTTAATCAAAGGCGTCTATATACAGAAATTGTGTGTAGGTTTGCCATTCCCAATGCAGGAAATGGCGCACAATTCCCCGTCTACGTCCGCCCTTTCATAGATCATTCCAGGTCCATCCATGGACTACCCTAGACTGCTTAGAGATGTCCAGACAGGATGGTCCCGGTTGCGCCACGGAAACTTGTACAAACATCAAGTTCCATCAGCTTCATAGCCACTTCCCTCACCGTCCAGGCCAAAAACATGGACGGCGATAAACCGACCCCAAAAAGAAGCGGCGCATCACCAAATCGCGTGGCCAGCCTGTTCCGCGAATCTCAGTCATGGCCAACAAGAGAGGCAACGGTCGGAGTGCAAGGGACCAATGCGGCTGGGAAAGGGGCTGCGGAAGTGGCGAGGCTGAAAAGCACGGACATCAAGCACTGGGGTGGGAGGACTCTCAAACACTGAAGTATACCCCAAACCTTGACCCTCCTGAGGTGGCCTTTAAGACCCGTCGCCGGCCCTTTTGGGGCCAAACGGATGTATCTAAACCAATCAAAACCACGACTCTGCACGACTTGTGTTCTACATGAAATGGTGGTCCGCTGTGGTTGCGCAGGGTTCGTGACCACAAACATAAAACCTCACTACCGAAAAGAACATGGGATATTCCCTAGGGCTCCTCAGAAGGTGGTTAGACCCTCTCAGGAGGTGGTCGGAGCCCTAGGGATTCTTTTTTGTTCTTCTCTGATAATGGCTGAAAATGCCTGCTGGACCTGGAATGCTCAGCCAAATATCCAAAAACAAGAGCTTCCAAGCTACCCATGGCTGCAGAAAAAGCAACCAAGCTAGTTGAAGGGGACTCTTCCATCTTTCGTCCAGTCTGGGATGTCGAAGGCAAACCCAAATCCAGCTACAGAATCCACGTCCGAAAGCTGTAGTGGCTGAAGAAACCAAAACATCCAAAACATTGGCTTTTTTTCATGGGGTGCCCCTACCCTGCATTTTTTGTGGAACACAGGGGGACTTAGGCTTTAAAAACCATTTCACCATTTCCGGTTCGAGACTTGACATAAAATATATGAAATTCACCCAGACAAATACAACATCTAAGCAAACCATCGAGTAGTCCCACAGACATGCCCCGTCTCGTCGACTCGCTGGGCACGAGCGGTTCTGGGTTCCCCCGGCATTGCCCATGATCGTGGTCGTCTTCCCCGTGCCCGTCTGCCCATAGCAGAACAAGCAGGTGTTGAAGCCCTGAATGCAAACGCTACGAACGGAGCATTTCGGGGCTACGAACGGAGCGATCGGGCGCTACAAACGGGGCTCCTGGCCTTACTACGAAAGGAACAAGGACGCTACGAACGGAGCTTTTTCCCGGTCTTTCTGAACAAGGCCATTCTTCCCGGGCGGGTGCCCGACCGATTCTGCCAGCGTCTTTGGTGGCGGCCGGGATCGCAAATGCTGGGGCACTCCGTCCGTCAGATGTGCTGAGAATTCCTCGTCTTGCTTAAACTGGTATATAGGAACGCAAACCAACAAAAGTATTGGGATTTGATGGTGTCTTCTCTTTTGGAGAACCTTCTGCAGGGGACAGTTAAGGACTGGGGGACACTTGATGGTCACCGGAGACACGCGAAGGCCTAGCCTCGCCTGGAGCATGTGTTGCACCATACGCTCGCCCATGAGCTCGTAGCATCTCTCCTGGCGAGGGGAGCCTGGAGACTAGTGGTTAATGACCAGAAACATCATATGTACTGGCGCCTTCAGTTTGCCTGGAAAATGAAGGTTACAGTATATAACCTAGCTTTTTCTACCTGTTCTTGGGAAACATGGGGAAACCACTCCCAAAAAGAGGTTAACGGTTATCCACTGACTGGGTATGTTTATACAAAGTACTTTCAAGCACATAACTATAAGTACATCATATACCCTGGCCCTAGAGCTCGAAGTGGTTAAGGTGGGTTTGGTCTAGAATAGTTACCTGCTGAAAAACACTACCACTTGGGGCCCAAGGGGGGATTCCAGGAGGCCGTTGTCCACTTCTGGGTATAGGAACAAGCCGCGCACACAAACAAACCTGCTTCTGAAAATCCATTAGGGACACCAGGAAAAAAAGTAGGGGTAACTCAAGATATACCTGGAGTCATCTTCCATTCATCATGGCTTGGGGCATTACTGATTACTGACATTTGCAAAACAGCTGAACAATGCTAGGTTTTAGCATGACTTTCTGCTTACTTGGCAACTCCATTCAGCCGCAGGATCCTCACAATTTTGCCCAGAAGCCTAACGTAGCAATGGTAGACTCATCAAAAACATCTAACGTGGCATTCAGTGCAGACTATATTTGCCGGCTGACGTGGCAATCAGCTGGTTATTCTACCTCATTTTCTAGTTGCCTCGTTAGTACCCCAAAGTGTACTTTACAAATAGATACAAATAGCGCAACCATCATCAAACAATAACTTGACTTTAAATCAAGCGCGGACAAACTCAACATGACAAAGGAACCTTATCCCCAGTCAAGTCCAGTGCTTATCTTGGGGCTCCAAGTATTGAAATTCCATTCTCCACACCATGACCTCACCTGGTCCCTACCCTTTCCAGCACCGAAGGCTGAAAGCCGTAAGTGGGACCTCGCACCCGGCACCGCGAGGGCCGGACCCGCATCCCTGACCCGTGGCTTTTCCGCCGGTCGCACCGGCCGAGACGTCTCGGCGGTCGGTCCTGCGAGACGTACTCCGGGCTGTTTGGATCGGTACTGTCCATGGCCACCTGGGACGGCGAGGAGAGAGCGACGTCCCAGGAGGGTGACGGGCGACGGGCGGATCGGTACTACCAGGAGTCATAGGTCCGTCCGGCTTGGTTGGCTCCGCTACTTGGTATGGCTCCAAATACCCAAGGGTGGCCTGAAGAAGAGGGTGATCAGTCTATCTCGAAATCTTCGCCATGCTGATTTCGCCTGCCTGCGCTGATTTTGCCTCAGCTGGGTGGCCCTCACATCGAAGGCAAAGGCCTTCTTCTGTACGTCCAGCTGCTGCTTGGCATCCAAGGCCTCGGTGGACACGTAGACCTGCTTGTCCTGCGGAACATCTACGCCGCGGTCTTTTTCGCACGGTCCCCGAACATGGAACACCAGGGTGGAGGGGGGACCAGGTAAGCTGGGCCAAATACGTATGAAGTTACGTATGATTAAACCCCTATTATGTCGTATAACTTTGGCTCCTGCTTACGCCCAAGTTCCATATGGCAAGGCCTTCACTATTAGTTCATCTTGCGGTGAGCTTCACGCTTCGTTGGAAGATCCAGTTGCATTTGACGGCGGGAAGGGAGACGAGTCGGCGAATACGATGTAAAACACGGACCTGTATGAAGCGGAATTCACCCGGTGAAAGGGAAAACAAAAATCGACCATGACCCTCCAGTCGGGGTGCCCAATGCTATAGGTAGTGTGGGGTAGTCCATTGGACACCCCTTAGGGGGCCCTGGTAGAGAAAACATCACCCAAACAAATGCTGGGACTTGAGATGTGAACCAGCTTTGCTTTCGTTCGGCCACGCCCTTAGTTTCTTGCCTTCGTGCCTTCCGTGCATTCGTGTTTTCTCGCTGTAAATTGTTCCTGCATTGGGGACCAACAAAAGTTGTGCCTCGGTGTCAGATCATTGCAAAGAGGAAAGAAAGAAGGTTGTTTTGTTGATTCCTAAGCCTGTTGGAGACCTGGCCCGCTGATGCCCGCTGTGGATGTGGTTGGAATAACACTTACACTCTGACTCACTACAGTAACAGGAAGTGTGCACGTTCCTCCAGAAACAGTTGAATGTTCATGAATAGTCAACTTCCATGTTAGTGAGTCCAGTGCACTTTGGCAACCATGCCTCACCACACCCCCGCGGCCTCGATTCTCAAGCAATGCCGCTGGCCTTCGAAGCCAAGAGTTGAGCGAGATGGTGGTCTACTCGAGGCTGCGATCCGGTCGATCCATCAACCAATTTAGGGGTTCCAGTTTCATGGGTTTCCTGGGCGAACGAGCAGTCCCACTTGCTCCTGGCAGTCCACATCAGTCCACTTCATAGGGTATCAATTGGTTTCTGGCTTCCAGGCTGGAACGATCTGATTTGGAACCACCTCCAGGTGGCGGAATGTCATGTCTGGCAGTTGCCCGCTGTCCGTCCGTCCTCTCCCGTTCGGACACCCTCCGCACTTCCGGGCCTCGTTCTCGCTCCACGAGCGGCCTCAAGCGCATGCCCACCTGGGCGTGGTCTCCACGGTCTTCTGCGGCTCGGTCCAGTCGTCTTTGCGAAGCGGATGGATCGGCGGATCCGCTGCTCTGAGGTGATGGGGCACTCTTTTGACCCGTTTGGGCTCCAGTTACCTTCTGAGGTTCGGTGGGACTGGGGTGGGTGCCAGGAGGGTCCAAATACCTTCTGAGGAGGCACCTGGAGCCTATAGGGTTATGATTGATTCTCATTGGAGGCTCCAGTCAAACCTGGCCCGAGGTCAGGTGCACTACCAGTGGAGGCTTCGGACCAGTGCACCACCTGGGCAAATGCTAACTTATCTCTTAACCACCAACATGAACAGCACTAGGATTCACCCCCTGTTGCGGAGCCACATGGTCTCCATGCTCAGACTATATAGAACCCCTGAAACCAACCCAATGATCCCAAAACTATGTAAAGATGCCATACATGGAGTGTCATGGGTTGTAGTCCTTCGTACGCGGTCCAGGGTCGCTGCTACGTGTATGTGTTTTGACCACCCCTTTGTCCTAAACTCCCACGAAAACCATGGCCGTCCTTCACCCCATTGAAGCAGTTGAACCCCGGAACCCTCACTGAAGTTGGTGGCATTGAGTCCGATCTGGGTTTCTGTTTGACCCCCGGGGCCCGGTTCCCGCCTCATATACATGCTTAATATGCACTCATCTGTTGAAGGGCTGACTCAATACAATGGGCTCCTGGCCCATCTCTTCAGAAGGTGGTTAGACCCCCCTGGCACCCACCCCAACCACCTTCTCAGGTGGTGGTTGGAACCGAAGGGCTACAAGGATCTAAACTACAGGAGCTGGGTGGCTGGAACTAATGCAGAGAGCAGAGTGCTTCTCAACACCAATGACCGGCTTCTTGTTCTACAACGATTAAGACGGGCTGTGCCTCAAATGCATGGCGTGGGATGGTCCTGTTCACCAATTTCACCAAACAATCAGCAGTACCGAAAGAATGTTGAACAGATTGAAAAGCACTCTTCTAACTTCAATGCACATGATGTTCTGAATGCAGGTATGATGGAATTGGGGATGTTTGGGCGAAACTATCCGGGATGGTCAAGTATGATCCAGTTCTCCAAGTGATCCGTATTCTTGCGAACATGCCATCATGAAGATGGCTCCCTTAGAATGTGCATGTGCATGAGACCATCATTCATAGGCCCTGAAGCGCCGTGACCTCATGTATTACATCTGGGCCTTTGGAGGTCTTACATCAGCCTGGCTTTCTGCCTACCCAAGGCTCCAAAGTCATGTCCCAAACAACCTCCGGATAGACCTTCCGATCGTCAGGGCTCGTTTGATCGATCGACGTCAGGGCGTGGTCGTGCATGCACGTCTGGTGGCCAAGGTGCCCATATTGACTCGCTGGCGATCATCCCGGCATGGCCTGACAGTCATGGAAGGGGATTGACCATGATTGACCCTTAAGGGAACATGAACAATCAACTTTAGAAGCAAAACAAACATGATCATATAGATGGTAATAGTTACAGGATGTTACAGGAACCTATTGGGGATGGTCATGGGAGTTACCCCTCCTTTACGGCCTTGACAGGCTAAAGGAACCAGGAGCAACCATGCTACTAGGAGCATTTCGGGCATCGCTACGAACGGAGCGATCGGACGCTACGAACGGGGCTCCTGGCCTTACCTACGAGTAAAAAGAAGCTACGAACGGGGGTTCTGGCCTTAGTAGAAACTAGAGCAAGGAGCTACTACCTGGACCCTCCTGTCGGGGTGTCCTGGCTGGACTACCCCACACTACCTTTTGCCTATAGGCTTCCTAGTCCAGGGCACCCCTAAAAGAGGGTCCTGGTAGGAGCTGTTTCGCCTTGGGGGTGGCAGATGTTGCACCATATGACGTCGTCACATGCATCGGTTCGGTTCCACTCAGCCGACTCAGGCTCAACGCACTGATGAACAATAATAACAATAGGAGAAAAAGGTGGGATCCTTCATCTCAAGTGGTCAAGTAGTCAAGAACACCACAAGTGGCCAAGTCATCATCTCAAGTAGTCAAGTAAAGGTTGAACATAAAAGCAAACGTTTTATAGATCATTCTCACCGCCCCAGTTCTCATGAAGCCCTTTCCGCACCGAGGTCCCAACACCGAGACGGCACCGAGGTCCCGGCCCAAACAGCCGGGACGAACAGGGGGCACCGAAACAATACAGCTGGTAGTTTTGAAGCAGCAAGAGTTTTGGTTCATTGGGATTAGATGGGATTAGCAAAGAAGTTAAACGTGTGAAACCCCTAGGGCTCCAACCATCTCCTCAGGTTCGGTGGTTAGACCCCCAAAACACACCCCAACCACCTTCTCAGGAGATGGTTGGAGCCCTAGGGAACATGAAGTTGAACATGCCAACACCACAGATTCCGGGCGATGTCCCAGTGAATAGCCCCTCTAGTTCGGGCGAGAAGCTCGGGGTGTCCATGAACCACTCCTGACGGGGGGTCCCGGTTCTGCACACCGATTCGATTGATTCGCACCCGCCACCGGGGGCGGTTCCCACCAGTTGGAACCGCTACGGCCTGGCCTGGAGTGGTGGATCTAACATTGTCACCATGAAATAGCGAAGATTGTTCAATGTCTTTTGCGGTTTGACCTGTTCAGTGCTGGATCTGCTCAGTGCTGAGTGGCTCTGCTTGTGGGGCACGAGAAATTACCAATGCCCCGGAAAGAAAAGACACAACCGTGGCATGGCATGAGGATCCTTAGCCTTAGCTGTCAAAAAACGTAGCATAAAATGGTTGACTTGGATTTGTAGTCTAAAATCCTGAGTAGAATATTCTCGCTTGGGATTCGAGCTAAGTCTAAGGACTGACTGAAGTCAGCTGCAGTCGCCCCAAATGCGCACATGCCTGGCCTAAACTTAAACTAAACCCATCAAACTCAAACCACCAAAAACATATGACGTCATATGTTGGTCTCATGAGTGTCTATACCTCCTCGAGGTCGACTATGTGGGACAATTCATATGCCAAACCAACCTGGCCGCGGCTGGCTGTTGTTTGCTGCATGTTTCGCTGCGACCCTTTCAACTAGATCTATAGATGGATCTTGATGCCATATAAGTTGGGTGCTTGATGTATTGTTACCCCTGACCAACCATGCATCATCAGGCTTTGAATATGGACATGTGAGAATATTTGTCCTTGAGCTTCCAACCCAGCGCAGCGGCGCCCCGAATCCATCAGAACCCACGAGGCCCTGGGGTCGTAAAGACACGCGAAAAGTAGGTGGATTACAACCGTCCCAAACACTCCATGTATGCCATAGGGGTGGTTTGAGGGGTCAATGTAGGCATATATGGCATATATGCAGTGTCTGGGCGTTGTGTGTTTAAAAAAGGTCACACGCCCGAGCAAACCACAGTCACTACACCCAGACCCAAACCATCCATGTATGGAATAGTTACTTGCCTGGAACCCGTGTGTGCCCCTAATGTAGGTAACTATTCCAGTCCCATGGAGTGTCTGGTATCTGGGAGTCTGGGCCTTT